CTGAAACCCACCACCAGCCTCCGAAGACTCCACTTGGGCCAATGTGTGATCTCTGTGAACATCCATGAAATAAGGCACAGCTTTAGAGCCATTAAAGACATGACTGTAAGTATGGACTATTTGGAAACCCACCTATCGCTGTAACTCTGAATCATGCTGATCTATTGAAAGATCCCTCATAAAAGCAAACCTTCACTCAGTGATATCTGTCTGATTTGTTTTTTTTCTTTTCCCCTCTTGTTCAGCAATCTAAAGATGAACATACAGACATCAGACTTTTACACCAATCATATTCTTTGCAAGACACTGAGGTATGTACAATATCTATCCACTGGCCAAGGGAGTATGGAGAGGGGGAAGATGGAATTTGAGGGGTAACAGCCCTTGTAAGAGGGTCTGCTTGGATTCTTCTCCGCACCCTGTTGCTTAGTTTTGATTTGCACCTTCTTTGATGCTCAAACCTCCCTGTCTAGCTGCAACACCTCTTCCCTCCCTCTCGCAGCTCTGCTTAGAATCCATTAAGGATCCAGCCCAAATAGCCATAAAGGAGTAAGGTGCATGGATATTACAGAAAAGGGCAGCAGTTTAAAACCCCAACCAGTACTGAGAACCTGGTGTACTTTGTGCTGTACTATTGTGCTCATTTGAGCTATCCTTTCAAAGGAATAAACCTGTTAGTTTGCTTGAGCAAAAAACAACAAGGAGTCCTGAGGCACCTTCAAGATTAACACATTTATTTGGGCATCAGCTTTTGTGGGCAGGAGTTCCCTTCATGCCTCTGACCAAGTGAGCTCCCACCCACAAAAACTGATGCCCAAATAAATGTATTGGTCTTTAAGGTGCAATAGGACTCCATGTTGCTATTTGTGCTTTAGTGACTTTAGTCATATAAATAGTCATATGAAGTCAAAGGTCTGCTCATGTGAGTAGAGTATGTGGGCGAGGGTCTAGGACCAGAGCCTTGGATTATAAATTCTTCAGGGAAGGAATTTAAGGCAAAGTTCACTGAGAATAAGAGTCATCATACATGTGGAGAGGACCAATATATGACTAAGCAAAATGCAGGACAATGTAGCACTTTAAAGACTAACAAGATGGTTTATTAGATGATGAGCTTTCGTGGGCCAGACCCACTTCCTCAGATCAAATAGTGGAAGAAAGTAGTCACAACCATATATACCAAAGGATACAATAAAAAAAATGACTGGCCCACGAAAGCTCATCATCTAATAAACCATCTTGTTAGTCTTTAAAGTGCTACATTGTCCTGCATTTTGCTGTAGCACAGACTGCAGAGAGCTCTTTGGGCAAATTGCACATTATCACCCATCTTAACACCAGCATTTTCTACTGATTCCCCCTGTGGAGGCACCTCAGCACAACACTGAAAAACAACCCAAGCTCTTCAGCAGTTTGGTGTTTTCCCAACCTTGGGGGAGTCAGTGGCAGGGAAAAGCTCACAGCAGTCTTCCTGGTCTTAGCATGCTGCCCTTTGAAGAATCCAGTCAGTTCCTTCAACTAAGCAGGCAAGAAAAACTGATCCAAGATGAGAAAACTGATCCAGTGCGAGAAAAAGATACCTCCGAAAGAATCCTGCAATAGGGCATCTCAAGAAATGCAGAATGACGGTAAGGTAAAAGAAAAGACACCACTGATGCAGGAAAGCCACCCTGAAGAGGAAGGCCCAAGGGAAAAGGCATTCAGCACATTTAAAAGATGTCCTCTCCCAGAACACTGCACACAGTGCCTCTGTGGGGAAACACGCCTCACCAACCCAGAAGCAGAACTCTGCAATGGATTCTCTGGAAGCCTCAGAGACATTTTGTCACCTTAATAGAATTCCTGTGCCCAGACAGAAGCCTTAGCGAGGAAAGGAGAAGATGGGGAGCAATTGCATAAGGTAACATGTTCTTGGAGAAAAAGAACCAACTATCTGTGGTGAGCCCCACTCAGGTCAAATCTCGCAGTGGCGGAGGACAATGTTGGCAGTCCAGGTTTCCTGGCATGGCAGAAATGCCTTTTGTATTAGTGCTAGTAAACCCCATGCTCTGCTTTTACTCCACCCACACTAGCAGAGCCACTGGCCCAATGCAGAATCCATGAAGACTTTCAGAAAGTCTGATTCCTGCTCTCAGTATGGAACTTGGGGAAGCATGAGAGCCTGAAGAGTGGGGGCAGATGTTTGGGGAAGCTGGTTAAGAAGCCAGGCAACCAGGACACATGTAGGGTCCTCTGAGGAAACTCCAGAGCTTAAGAGCTCTGTAAGGCTGCGGGAGTGACTAAGACCAAGGGGAGGTGGAGTCCTTGGTACCCAGGGTGGCCCATGGTAAATCATCTTGATGAACAGCATAGCATGGTTTTGTATCACTCAGAGATATCAGAATGTTCCATCTCTGTCTCAAGTCCCAGGACTGGTCCTTTGGGATCAAAGGCTGCTGGCACCATTAAAATGGATCAAAGAAACCAAAGAAAGGGAAAAAAAACATATTGGGATGCTGGTGGCAACACAGAGTCCTCCAATCGCCCCTTCTGGCTTTCTCTTGTTCCCCAACACCCTGAGGATATTGTCTTGTCCTGGCCTGCCTGTTCACATGGTGTAACATACCAGTATTATACTCAACTGCATCAGCAACTGCCTAACACAGGCACCTTGAGGGTCAACAAGGACTGTCCTGTGCGTGAGTGCCACAAAAACATCAACATTGCTCTGCCATGCTGATATGCCACAGGAACTATCCCCAGGGCCCTGGTTTCAATGGAGTAGCGCATGGGAGTTTCTTTTCCTTTTTTTTAACCTCTGTCCCCAGTTTTCTTTATTTTTCCCTCTAGTTTCCAGATTGGTTCTTCAAAACCTGCTTCCTCACCATCCCCCTTTCATCCCAGACTGCTCTGAGTCACATGCTTGCAGCAGGGAGCAGAGAGGTAGAAGTGACAAATTTTGAAAGTTTGACTTGGCTGCTTTGCTCCTACATGGAGTGCCAGGGGGGGGGGGGGGAGCAAGGAGCAGAGGTTCCTTCCACAGCTGACCACAGTGGTTCGTGCCCTGTCTTGCCTCCAGGGTGAGGGCTGCGGGGTCCCAGCTTAGAGCCAAATGATTGGGGAGCTTTCATCTTCATCTGAGTACATGGCTCAAGTCTGCAAAGGCAGGAAGTACACCAGGGCATTCATCAGAGTTCTGAGCCACGGGGTTACCGAGGCAGGAGTCTGAAAGCCAAACCACACAGAACATAGTCCTTGGGGAATTCAGACAGGTTTTTAGGGTTTGCTTTAAAGAATATTTATCTACTAAGTATTTGGGACAGTTTGTCTGTGAGCGAGCATATCTGTCCATCTGTCCGTGTGGGGGTACCCCTGCCCCCCTCCCCTTTGTTTGTCGCGGTCCTCCCTAGTGGCGTGCTCCCTGCTTTCTCCCAATTGCAGATTTGCTGCGCTTCGGGTTTGCAGGGTGGGGGGTCTGGGCCCACCCTCACTCCCAGACCCCAGCCCAGGGCCCTAAGGACAGAGTCTCACAGACCTGTCCCACCGGAGGGGTCGTCCCCTTAACCACTGGTGCGCCGGCTCCGTGCCCTGCCCTGGGCTCCTTCCACCCTACTTACGATGCCTTCCTTACTCCCCTCCCTAACTCTCTCGCTCTCCCCCCCCCCATACCTTTCTGGGGGAACTTTATACCTCCCCCTACACCTTTCCTGGGCGTCTGACGTCACCCCCCCTCCTTGACGCTCTCCGTCATTTCCGGCCGCCATGTTGTGCGTTGCCGGAGAGACGCGTTGCCTAGCAACGCTTGCTTTCGCGCGGGCCGGTGTGTAGAGGACGGCGCTACACTGTTCGCATACCGTCCACGCCTGTCTGGCCCTCCCCACCAAGGACAGCGCGATCGCGGGGTCAGTGCGGGGTGGGCCTGTTTCAAGGGAGTATATGGGCCTCACCCCGTCACAGTCTGTCTGTTCAAGAACTCCTCCTACACGGTACAAGCTAGGACCACCACTCTCGGTGGCGATTTCCAAAGCAGAGAAGACTGATTTTTGTCAGTAAAGGCACAGATGGAGCTGCTTCGCTGAAAGATGCCTTTTCTCGGCAGCAAGTCACTTTTCCAATTTTAACACACAACAAACTCTGCATCCTGGTTGGGGATTACACTCACTGCCCCTTGTGGGCCCTTCCAGTGAGCTGGAAAAGCATCAGCCTTAACGAGGCACTTCATTAGCAGTACAAATTAAGTCTTGTTACAGCCCACAGGAGAGAAAGAGAAAAACTAGCATTTTTTTAAAAGGCATTTCTCTGAGGTTCTCAAAAATCTGAACACTTGTCAGAAGATGCATTTTCACCAGAAAACACATATTCACGAATCCAGCTGGAAATAAGTAACTCGGTACATGTTTGCTGCAAGCGGCCATCCATTATTTGTTAGATGAAGCAGCACTTCTCTGGCCTCAGCAGGTGGCCTTCTGCAGGACTCAATGCAGTGACAAATTCAGGATGAAATGCAGAGTTTTATGGGAGTCCCTAGCAGGGAGCAGATTTGTATCCAGCTCGTCTCTGTACTTCATCTCCTAGCTGCCCCACACAGCCTGCTGCCATGAAGCAAACCCACGTGCGGGCAACTGCAGGCCATCGCTGCCACCCTTTGCCTCAAGAAGCAACACATGAAACTTAGTGAAACTCACACCCAGGGCTGCTAAGAAACAGCTTGATGAGCTTTCAGAGGAGCAGCATGCAAGTGATCAACGTTCAGTCCCCTCTTTCCCACCCACCTCTGCTCTGTCCTGCTAGGATTCATCAGCAGGGCATAAACCGGCTGGATGTAAGCAGAGCGCTATACAGACACCAAACCACACACACACACACAACACAGAGTCTGGAGCGCACAAGAGGAGGACACTGTGGCTTGCAAGGCAGAGAGAAGCATGCACAAACCAAGAACAAACATGCTGACCTCATTTTTTGTGGTCTCTGGATCTGATTAGTGGAGAAAGATGTAGATAAAAACCATGCCAAGTTACCTTGAATAGGGTAAGAATAATGTGCTGGGCAGGGCTGGCTTGTGGTTAACCCTGTAGTGCAGGTAAGAACATTGTGCTGACTTGGAGATGGAGTCTGAATTAAACCACTTTCAGGTTTCATACCTGGCCACAGTGCACCTGAATCAGATAAATTGGACCAATTACAAACAGATACGCTGGGACCAAACAGCATGCTTGCTACCAGAGAGCAGTTTGTCTGCTTGTTACAAAAGTAAATGACTGAAAGTCACATACACAAAACAATATTGCTTTTATTTTGCAATCACAAATTCCTGACTCTTGGGCTGGATTTGAGCAGCTGGAAAAGAAAAGCCCAGAGACCGGCAAGGTCTAAACCTTTCAATGGAAAATTCTCTAACCCAAGAACAGGAGCTATTGCAGTGCTGGCGCTCAGCCTCTGGGACTTGGGCTGCTACACGGCGTTCTCGTAGCCCAGACAGCTATTAGCGAGATAATGCGCCAGCGTCCATGTGCAGCTACCCCTCTGAGACCATTCAGTCAGTGGCATTCCTTCCTTCGGCTTCAGCGGACATGGCATTACAGTGGCATTCAGTTTCCTCGCTAGTACTCACAAAAATTAAAAGTCCTTT